AGAGAGAGAGAGATGGGGCGAAAGAGAAGTGGTTCATGGGTATTTGTTTGCATCTATCAAGTCTTCATGGTATCAATGGCAGTTCTGTTACATGTATAAAAAGTTATATTTTCTGACGCATGCAGTTTCTGGTTTTCGCTTTGTCCTTTTTTAATTTGATTTTTGAAATTGTATACATGATTATACAAGTGGCTATCCACTTCATTCAATCTCATGGAGATGTAAATGTTTATTCTCCTAATTGTGTGATTACGAAAACTGCTATCAAGTGAATTTTCATGTTGACTTTGTCCATGGCCACAGTGCTTGTTCAAATGTCAATCCTAAAGTCCAGCGTTGCAGCTCAATTTGATTATTGACTTTACCATGAAGTAGAAGGGCAAGGGAAAGTCTACCACACTACATGCAACACACTGTTTAGTTACTTTTTTAGGAGATTTTATTGGATGATTTAGTATCACTCTTTGGATGTGGATGAGTCTTTGTAAGTCACAGGAAAATTTAAGAATAGATATGGAACAAAGTGAAGCCAAACAAGAATTTCGAATGCAATAAAAAAGAATTGGGGATTTATCAAAATACCTTGAATTTGAACTATTTAACATTTTACCCCAGGTGTATTTTGATGAATTTCAAAACCCATTTTAATGTATCATTTGATAGGTTATTTGGAATTTGATCAAAAGAACGATGGGCTATTTGGAATTAGAGGTAAACAAATGTATGTGGGATGTTACATCATCCAACTCTTATGAGCAATTTCATGAACTTCCCAACATAATTTCAAGGCTATAAAATAGAATTTTCAAAACAGAAAATGTGTTTGAAAGAGGAACTCTGGATTATGATTATCACCTTTCAACGTTTTTGTTGCTAGTGGCAAGGACTTTCTCTCTGTAATGTGCCTCTGGAGTGGCAAGGACTTTCTATCTGTAATGTGCCTCTGGATTTGGTTGTTTGCACAATCCCTTAACTTGGTTTCCTCTGCAATCTTTGGTTTTTGTGGACCTAAAACCAACATCTTTAATTTGAAATTTGAAATTTGAAAGAAAATTTATTCGCAATACAAAAGGGAATGTATACCACAAGACCATTTATTTTCTCATCTATCATTTTCGAAAAGTAAACATAAAGCCTTCATTTGATAGATGGTCAGATCTAGGTTTCTAAGAAGTCCAAATCATTTATTTTTTAAATTGTCCATCAGGTGAAGCAATTAGGCTTTACCGGAATTTCAAGTAAAAGAACCCTCCTAAGTATGTCTTCTGCCTTTGGAAACAAATGTATATTGCGCTTATGCAAGACCATCATCATCATCAAAGTCTTTTTCCATCTATTTAGGGTCGGTGACACAAATTTTAGTCTGCTATTCTGCTTTATCAATAGTAATATTCTCAATGAGGCTATAAGTTGTCATATCTTTTCTTGTTATTTCTAGTTAAGTTATTTTGGGCCTACTCTTTGTCTTTTTTTAGCCTTCTCCTTGAATCAACACGGACCTCTTAACAATATTAAGTCTGCACTGTACATGGTCAGCCACTTAAATCTACTTTCTCTGAAATTATCACAAACATGTTGATACTTAAATACACCTTTTAAACTTAATCTTCTTGGTCATAGAGCAATTTTATGCTATGATTAGACAATCTAAACATATAATCCCTTTTGGTTCTCAGCAATTTTGTGTAATAATGCGACTACAAAACTATCAAGGACACGGCACGCTCCTAGCGTGGGGAATGATCGGTGGCAGCGCGCTCCATACAACAAGGATGGAAGGGGCTGGGATGCTTTCCGAGATAGAATGATAAACACTGCATTTTGCACGTCCGCCCAAATCAGATTGGGTATTGCAAACCAACTCCCACTGATTCATTGCCCTCCATTCCCACAATTAACATGTAAAAAAACAAAAAAAAAAGAAAAGAAAAGAAAAGAAAGAAAGAAACAAAAAAAAAGAAAATAAAAGAAAAGAAAGAAAGAAAGAATCATCTGATTAATGGTGCCGGAGTCCCTTATAGAAGCTTTTCCAAACGGAACTGTAAACAATGAAAAGATAAAATGACAAGGTATTAATGGATCTGCTACCTAAAGATTGAAATGGAGTTATATGCTTTGTGGAAATGGTAGGATGATATTACACGGAACGTATGGTGCATTTTGTTTGTAAATTACAAATAAAAACAAGAAAATTTCTTTTTATTAGCGTACAACAGTAGCAACAACAACAACAACAAATGCAAATGGAACGTTAATATCTGTAATTTATGAAGTAGAACATTAGGTAATGTATTGTAGAAAGAACAATGAGAATTATGAACCGTTTATCATGCCTAATAGTTAAAGTATATTGTAAACTAATGTAAAAAGAAAAGCTAAATTCATAAGGAAAAAAAAAATTTAACGATTTCTTGAAATGGTAAAATATTTGAAACATAGAGAAAATTGGAGTAATGGACAATAGTATAAAAGATACTTAAGTTTTCACCTTTATAGGTACCCTCAGTTTATTGATCGCCTACTTAATTTGTCATAACTAATATTAAGAAAAAAAAAGTATAAAACCTATTAATACATAATGTGAAAAAAATACTTGGAAGTGAGAAAGGGGCATATGATACTTGATTTTAAAGTAAATTGTGAAGGGAAAAAAAGAAAGAAAAAAGAGGCTAGACAACTAACACCATCAAGGACAAATTGAGTGGAAGAAAAACATAAAAAAAATAGAAAAACAATTGAATCAATTATTCATATGATTTAAGTTTTTAGTATCTAGAGCATGATATGTTTTCTATCATTAAATAGAAATTTCATGAAAATAAGATATTGAATATGTAAATCATATTAAAATAAAACAATTATTTGTAGTGCAGCACTTTCACAAAATTGAGGATATGAATGCGATGTTAGCCTGTGAAGCGATATTCCTATTAGGAAGTTTTTCTATCTTTATACCTACCAAATATTTATGATATTAGATGTGATTAAAGCATATGGGACTTTCTATTTTGGTCCAATAAGGGTGAGGACTTCAAACTTTCCCCTAATACGTCTCAACCTCAGGTAAATGAGATGGCTCGGGTTAGGTAAACAGTCAGTATAAAACTTTGCCATATTTTACCATGAATCCTTAGCCGATCCCAATTAATTGGGATAAAACTTTGATGATGATGATGATATAAGAGTTTTATTTGTAGGAACTAAATCCTATAATTTAGGGAACCTATCAAAGCTAGGAAAGAGGATAAAGGAGGCCTCACAAAGTACTTTATTGGGCTTCTTATCATAAAGCTGGTTCTGGAGAGAAACAATCATCATCTGAGCTTTATTCCAATTATTTGGGATCGGTTGTTCAAATCATGTTCCGTCATTCTGCTTTATCAAGAGATAAAGAGAGAAACAAAGTATAAAAAAAAGAATAGAGAAAAATGGTGAGTTTTTGAGAGAGAAAAACCCTATTTTAGGGCTTGAAAGATGGAACATGTGAACCTTATGTGTTCTCTATGCTTGCATAATATTTTTTAAATCAATGGAACAAAAAGTTTGTCGGCTTGTAGATGTAGGCAATCGTCGAAAGATATAAATATCATTGTGATGCTCTCTTAGTTACTTGCATAATCTTTCTTTCTTTTTATTTTTATAATACCGTGATTTTTATTTTGTACAATTTTGGTATCAGAACTCAAGGGCTTTATATCTTTGTTGGACAAGAGGCTTGTTATAGATCATACATCTTTGAAAATGATCGAAAGAAGTTTTACCAATACAAAATTGTAATATTCGATGGTTGAATTTCTCAACCTGGAAGTTAAAAATGCACATCATGTTGGTGGCTGTGTAGAATCTTTGAAAAACATGGAAAAGACACCAAAAAAAAATATGGATGAAGACGAATTCAATGAAAATAGTCGATTGGTCATGGTAGATACTCTTTTAGCGTAGGATGAATCTGTCTTAACCTCTGAAAAATTGTTGAAAGGATTTATGAGAGGAATAAAAAACACTTATGAAAGTAAATATCTTTTTAACAAATTTTTTGTTTACCATCAACTTTATTATTTCAAGATGAGTTTTAACAAATTTTTTATTTACCATCAACTTTATTATTTCAAGATGAGTTTTAACAAATTTTTTATTTACCATCAACTTTATTATTTCAAAATGAGTAATAGTGATTCATTGCAAAGGCACTTAAATGAATTCAATGCGTAAGTAGCAAGTTGTAGCGCTAGATATGAAAATTGATGAAGAAAATAAAGGCAAGTCATATTATTTTGTTCTATGCTGGATCATAGGATGGTTGATTATGAATTTTGGAAGTGCAAACTGTTAAATTTGACTCTGTTGCGTTTGAATCTCTTACAACGAAAAATTTTTGGGAATATGTTTGTAGATAAGGTAGATTAATTGAGAGAAATGCAAGAAGCGGTCAATCAAGATCCAAGTCAAAAGGGCATATAAAAGGCAAGCA